GCAGAGGCATATCATGGCAAACGCTTTCTTCATTCGCTTGACGAATTTCATGCGAGCAGCATCGTCGGGCTGGTCTTCCCACTTTTCGTTTCCAATGACGACATCCCAAAGGTCCTTCTCTTCCAGGATCATGGACATCTTGAACTTCCACAGATGAAAGTTCGTTCCGTCAAACTTGTTGATCTTGAAAGGGGCGTCGGTAGCGTCGGTTGGGCTCATAACCAATTGAAAACAGTTAAAAGAACTCTGCAAATTCTTAGCAAAATGGAAAGTAATTCATTATGTTCATTCGACATGAATGATTACGCTAGTTGTGAAAATACTAATCATGCTCTACAAAGGTCGATTTCTTTTTTCTTCTAGAATTCGGACTTGATCGAGCTGGCAAACTTGACTTGTATCTTCAACAGTAGTAAGCTTACAGTTACTAACTAGTACAGTATTTCGAAGTGTGGAAAATTTTGAGGACCTACATTTTGAGGAATGCTGGTTGTTAGGGACCTACATTTTGAGGAATGCTGGTTGATTGTTAGGGACCTACATTTTGAGGAATGCTGGTTGATTGGTAAATGTATCTGATTTCGCAGGCCATCGCATTATAAATCTAAAATCTACTAGTAATCGCGTTTCTGAGACACAGTTCATTTCGCTTTCTTTTGATAGTACAGTAAGTTCTTGCTTAACTCCGCACTTGCTGTGCCGAGTTACTGGAGTTACAATTTACAATAAAAATACAAAAAATTTATTAACGTTACTGATAGTAATCAGGACGAAGTGGTGGTGTAGATACAACACTATTGTATCATCAAACATGCATTGGTGGTCAGAGTTCATTTCGACGATGATTCGTGGGGGGGGCGAACGCCTTACCAAAGTCGAGCGTTTGTCCATACTCGATGAACTTGCTGTATTATAGTCTTACTGTATATTGACACCCCAAACGTCACTAAACTCTCATTTGAAAGTATGTAGCATGCAATAATAGCACTATACATGCAATGTAACATTAAACTTATACTATGTATAATGTGGGAAGTACTCACTATGTACTATATTTGAAGTGAGCATCACGATGGCCGGTTTTGGCCCTTCAACACTAGCGCGCATCTGATTGAACATTCCACCTCGCTCGTTTACTCTTTCAGAGGAAGTCACTTCACCATTTCTCCTGGACTGCGATATCGCCATGAGCTCTGAGAAAACCCCGCTCTTCCACGTTGTGACCAAGCCTCGCAAAGCCAAGGCCAGCTCGAAATTGGTGCTGTATGCCGTTGGGGTCCTCGGTGCGTTGGCGACTGTCGGCACGATCTTAACCAGTCATCAATCGTCGACTGCACTCGTGGCTCCAGTGTCCAACTTGGCGGTGGTGAACAACTCTGTGTTTTGCGACGTCACCAAGCAGCAGTCTGGGTACATCAAACTGCCGCACAAGGTGGACGACAAGTACTTTTACTGGTTCTTCGAGTCGCGTTCGAACCCCGAGACGGACCCGCTGGTGCTGTGGCTCACGGGTGGTCCTGGATCGTCGTCCATTTTCGCGCTCTTGACTGAAAACGGCCCTTGCACTATCGACGCCGACTTGAACACGGTGCGAAATCCGCATTCCTGGACCAACCATGCCAACGTGATTTGGCTGGACCAGCCCACGGGTGTGGGTTTCTCGGTCGGCGATGACAAGGACGACGACCACAACGAAGAGGATGTGGGGCGCAACATCTACGGCTTCCTCCAAGGGTTTCTGAAGAAGAACCCCAAGTTCAAGTCCCATCCGTTCTTCATCACAGGCGAAAGCTACGGGGGCCACTACGTGCCGTCCGCCGCCCACTACATTTTGAACCAATCGCCCGATAACGATGACGTGCATATCAACTTGAAGGGCATTTCCGTGGGCAATGGGCTCACAGACACCGTGACTCAAATTCCGTACACTGCCGATATGGTCGACAACGCGTACAACATCACGTTGGTGCCCCCGGCCGATGTTCCTGCGTTGAAAGAAGCGGCCAAAGCGGTAGGGAAACTAGTTGAGGCATGCCAGTCGCCTGTAAACGAAACCCAAACGTGCCTTCGAGCCGTGGAAGCATGGAGCGAGCTTGCAATCGATCCATTGACCAGGGACTCCAAGCGCAACCGGTACGACATCCGCGAAGACTGTACGAACGGCTGCATCGACCGTATGAAGAACGTCCTCGCGTTTCTGAATTCGCCCGCCGTCCAAGCCAAGCTCCACGTCAACAAGACTTGGGCGTTAGCGTCCCGCCGAGTGTCCCAGGACTTTTCCGTCGACTTTATGAAGAACTACGTGCAGGTCGTGCCCGGGTTGCTGGCGGGGGGCGTCCGGGTCCTCATCTACGCAGGAGACGCCGACCTCATGTGCAACTGGATCGGCAACGAAGCGTGGACCAAAAAGCTCGACTGGCCCGGCAAAGCTAGTTTCAATGCCGCTCAAGTCAAACCGCTCACAGTCAACGGCAAGAACGGCGGCCAAGTCCGATCCAGCCGAAACTTGAGCTTTGTCCGCGTGTACAACGCCGGTCACATGGTGCCCACCGACCAACCGGAAGTGTCGCTCGCACTCATCAACCGATTTTTCAACCATTTTCCCTTGGACAAGGAACACCCAAGCGTCTAAATCTGGGCGATTTGGGCAAGAAATATGCATCGTAGTCGTGTTGTACATTGAAGTAGTTTGGTTTCCAATGGCGTTCCATGCCACCAAGTTTCAACGTAATATCATGTTGCTTTGGACTGTGTCCAGTGTGTAGGCCATCCACCACAGTGCACCCCCCATGGATATATTTGCATATTAACGCTTTTATTACTGTACTGCTGCCTGCTGCCCGTCACACGAATCGAAGGAGGGTAGTTGATTTATTGGGGGTAGTACATATTGCTACAGCGTTTCATTCTGGAGGAATCGATTGATGAGGGTGGCCGACACCGCCGGTTGGTCTCGTGGCACGCAATGGCCCGAGTTGAACACTCGCACAAAGGTATGCTCATTCGCAGCTCGGACGGTTCCAGCTACGATATCATTGACCAAGAATGGCGTCACGCTCGCGGCATTGAAGCCATCGTGGCCCGAGCACTGGAGCTTCCTTGTCCACGCATCGTCCCCCTTCCAGTCGCAAATGAGATCAGCGTCCCCGGCGTAGATCAGCACCCGCAACCCCCGGGCGAGGACACTCGCGACAAAGTGCACGGCGTTCTTTTCTTCGTCAACGGCGAAGTCCTCCAGGACCGTCGCGTTGCTCATCGCGTACGGTTTGTGGACGTGGAGTTGCTGCTGCACCCACGGTTGGTTCAAAAACCGAGTCGTTTTCGGTCCGCCAAGACCGTCACACACGTCCACCTCGCACACTTGGCGGAAATCGTACGGATTTTGAGTTGGGATGGTGATCATGGGCTCTAAGAGGTTGGCGTCCCAAAAGTCGTCTGTATCCAAGCACGCCTGAGTCTGGTTGGGCAGTTAACATTGGGCCACAAGAGCTGCTAAGTGCACGGCATCGTTTTGCATTTTCTCGAGTTGAGCGGGGGACACTAGCGTGATGTTGTACGAGTTCTCAACCGCCATGTTGACAAGGAGGGGGTACTGGGTGACCGTATCTGTGAGTCCGTCGCCAATCGTAATGTCCTGTAAATTGATTCGAATCGCAGTGGTGTTGGCGTCTTGGGACTGAAGGATGTACGCCGCGACTGCAGGCATGTATTGGCCCCCGTAACTCTGCCCGGCAATGTAAAACGGATTCGCCTGGAGTTTTGGATGTGCCTGGAAAAACCCTAGGAGAAATTCGTAAACGTTGCGGCCGACGTCCACTTCGATGTGGTCGTCGTGGCCCCCGCTAAATGAGAACCGCACGCCTGTGGGCTGATCGATCCAAATCATGTTGGCGTGGTTGGTCCACGAGTGCGCGTTGAAGTGGGTGCTGTTGCCGTCTTCGCCATGGAACACGGCCCGTTTTCATTCAACAAGGCCCAGATGGAAAACGTGCCAGCCCCCCCTCCAGCCACAGTACGAGGGGGTCGTCGGTAGGGTTGGACCGAGACTCAAAGTACCAGTAAAAGTACTGGTCGTTCGCCTTGTGTGGCAGTTTGATGTAGCCAGATTCGTGGTACGTGGTGTCGCAAAACGTAGGTGTGACCTCGCGCGGCCACGGGATGGATGGACGAGAAGATGCCACGTACGCAACCATCAGGACACAGGCTGCAGCTGCAACAACAAACTTGACACTGATGCCCCTGTTTAGGCGATGCCAATGTCACGGTTGTCGAAAGAATAAAAGCGGAGCCTCGTGCTGTGGTTGGAGGGGGACCCTGGTACATCTTCCATCTGGGCGATTTGATGCTTGCAAATGGAAACTTTGACTTATGTCAGGTGAAAAAAAAGAACTTTGCTCTTCGGGAACGTTCGAAATATTCTGAGCCAGTCAATCGTCGCATCGCCAGCAATTGTTGTGTTTCGATGACAGAGTCACGTACGAACACAAATAATTACTACCGGTAGTACTTCGAAGTATCGTTGAATGAGAAATGAAGTATTAAATGTACGCGTGTAAAAATAAAGCTCTCAACTCTACGACTAGTGCTGTAACGCTACTCTTCGGACGTGGTGGTCGCAGGGTTTGCATTCCCATCGACTTGTCGAGCGACTAGAGTTCGATACAACCCCGACGGAATGTCCAGGAGCTCGGTATGCGTGCCTTGCTCGACGATACGTCCATCGTGGGCCACCGCAATGAGGTCGGCGCTTTGAATGGTCGTGAGTCGATGGGCCACGACGATCGTCGTCCGCTTCTTCATGTCCAAGAGCGCATCCAGTGACGCTTGCACAATTCGCTCGCTTTCGTTGTCCAACGCACTCGTGGCTTCGTCAAGCAAAAGGACTTCGGGGTCTCGCAAAATGGCCCGCGCAATGGCTATCCGCTGCTTTTGCCCCCCCGAGAGCTACACATATCGAATGGACTTAGAAGGCTTTGAAATATATAGTTGTGTACCTGAATGCCACGATCTCCAACTTGGGTGTTGTACTTTTCAGGGAACTGCTGAATAAAATCGTGGGCGTTGGCCATCTGCGCGGCCTTTTCAACCTCGTCTTGCGATGATCCCGGCTTCCCCGTCGCGATGTTATCGGCAATCGTGCCCACAAACAGCACTGGCTCTTGCCCCACCAGTGAAATGTGTTCGCGAAGCCAGGTCAAGTTGAGGGTGCGGATGTCCACTCCATCAAACAATACGCGGCCAGCATACGGATCGTAAAAGCGCTCCAAGAGCCCGATGGCGGTGCTTTTGCCACTGCCACTGGATCCAACTAGCGCCACCGTGGTGCCGGCCTCGATTACCAGGTTGTAATCCTTGTACACCAAACTGTCGGGGCGACTGGGGTAGGCGAATTGCACGTTTTGGAACTCAATTCGTCCCACGACTAGTGTTGGCTTGACACCGTCATTGGTGATGCATTCAATAGCAGGCACTCGATCCACGATCGCGAACACGTTGGCGGTGGCTTGCTTGGCCTTCCCCATCCCCCCCAGCGCCTGTGCGGCCGTACCCAGCCCAAAACTGCTCATCATGAGGGACATGAGCACCGAAAACATGTCGGCAAACACAATGATGCGGTGGCTAATGAGGTACCCCCCAAACCAAAACAAAAACGCCATCGCGAAGAACATCATGGCTTGAGATAGGCCGAATACAAATCCCATCGACAGCGCCGCGCGCCGATTGTCGGCCCCGGCCATGGCCACGAGTTTGGTGAAGTGGGCTTGAATCACGTCCTCCATCCCGAACGATGCCACCGTCCGGATAGACCCGATCGCTTCCGAGAGCAGCGCGCCAGCCATCACGTCGCCTTCGTTTTCGTCTTCCTTGACTTGGGGGTTGAACGACTTGGCGCGCATTTTCGAGGCAAACCCCATCAGAGGAAACACCCCCAGGAGCGCTAACGTCATTTGCCAGCTGTGGTAGAACGCAATCGTAAACCCAATCACGAGGCACACCACAACGTTGAGCACGTTTTTGAGCAAATCCGCCGACATTTTCTGAATCAGCGCGCAGTCCGTGCTCAAACTGGCCTGCAAAGCGCCGGCAGAATGCTCGGGGAAGTCGTACCAGCCGACTTCTTGGCGCAACATGGCGGCAAACCCTAACGCCCGCAGCCGCGTCGTCAGGCGCTCCGACACGACCGAGAACCCGTAGTTCTGGGCTACGTTGCCAACGCAGTAGGTCGCGCCAAGGATGAGAAAGTACCCGGACCATTTGAGCCCTTCCAACTTCATTTCGTCGGCGGTGAGTTTGAAATTGAAAAATAGCACGATGCAGCTCGACAAGAGGTATCCCCACAGGGGAAACGTGGCGCCTGTGATCAACGACCCCATCGAGCCCATCACCAAGTACCCCACTTCCGGTTGACTCATCGTCCAAATACGACCGTACGGCACCTGGTTGGCGGTCTTCTTCTTCTTGGGGGAGGATGGCGTCGACGCTGGAGCGGACGTGGTCGCCGCAACCGGGACAGGAATCTCCGTGGGGGATGCGGCCACATCGTCGTCCACAGAAGACGTCAGTTTCATGACGGCATTGCTTGCCTTTCGGGGGCTTTTGCGAGACTGGGCGTCCACGAGCATACGATACTGCCCTTGGTCGATTTGCATCAAGTGTTCGTGCGACCCTTGTTCGACGACTTTGCCTTCGCATAACACGACGATGCGGTCGGCGTTTCGGATTGTCGCGAGCCGGTGGGCGATGATGATGGTTGTTCGCTTTCGGTCGTTCAGCAATGCATCCAGCGACGCCTGCACGATGCGCTCGCTCTCCGTGTCCAGCGCACTTGTGGCCTCGTCCAACAGCAAAATGGCTGGGTTCTTGACGATCGCCCGGGCGATGGCAATGCGTTGCTTTTGTCCGCCCGACAACTGCGTGCCACGGTCCCCCACGAGTGTATCAAACCCTAGCGGAAATGATTGGATGAACTCCAACGCGTTGGCCCGCTTGGCCGCGTCGCGGATCTCTTCCATGGTCGCCCCGGGCTTGCCGTGTCCAATGTTGACGGCTATCGACGCCGCAAACAAGCACGGCTCTTGCCCCACGAGCCCAATCTGTTGCCGTAGCCAGCGGGGGTTGAGCGTCTTGAGGTCCACCCCGTCGAGACGGACGACGCCGTGAATCGGGTCGTAAAAACGTTCAACAAGGGACACGATCGTGCTCTTGCCGCTGCCGCTGGGGCCCACGAGGGCAACTTTCTCCCCCGCTTCGATCGTGAGGCTGTACCCCTTGCACACTGGAATGTGGGGCCGCGACGGGTACTGGAACTCGACTTCAATCAGCTCGATGCGACCTTCCACACTGCTCAACGTGGCGCCGTCCGTAGTCAGCGCGTCAATTTTCGACGGCCGGTCGATCGTTCCGTACGCTTCAAAGGCTGCCGCGCGAGCCGACACGATCGCTTCCATGCTCGGATTCGCCTGGCCCAGCGCCATGGCACCCATGATGACCCCAAAGAACACCGTGAGCACTTTGCCGCCGTCGTAACAGTCGCTCATGCATCCTGGCTGCGTCAAGTTATCCGTCGCCACAAGCACCGCGCCGTACGAGATGGCGACCGCGTACGTCGTGAAGATCATCATAAACGTAAACCCCCCGCCGATGCCAGTCATGAGGCCTTTCTTGATCCCCGCCGCCTCGGCCAATTGAAGCGCGTCGTTGTACTTGGCGGACGTGGCGGGAATCGAATTGAACACGTGGACCGTGCGTATGTTGGCGAGCGCTTCTTCGGCCACAGCTCCAGCTTGGCTATATGCCTGCCAGAAAATGAACGAGGTTGTGAGCACGGATGCCACAAACGTCATCACTTGGGCGCATGTTGCACTTACTCTTAATAAAAAAATGAATGGATGGATCGATAGATCTGTCTACCTTGATTGCATTTTGGACAGCTCGCGCCGTGGTTTTCATCATGCACGCCAATCCTAGCACGAGCACGGGAAGGAACGCGACCACGACGGCAGACAGCTTCCACCCGCTTTTGAACCCGATCGAAACTCCGGCGACCGCCATGGCGATGCAGTTCCAGTAGTCGCCAACCTTTCTGCCCATTCCGTCTTGAATGAGCAGCACGGATTCCGTGATCTTGGTGGCCAGTGACTGCGGATTGTTGACGTCGAACCAGCCAATGTCTTGCTTGAGGATGCCCGTGATGTACGCCAAGCGAAGGCGTTCGGACTGACGCGTCGACGTGTACGTCCACGCCACCACTTGGATGAAGCCCGTCGTGACGACAGCCAGGCCCATCGCGAGAAAACTGAGCGAGATCTTGGACACTTCATGCAGCATGTGGTCGTAGGACTAGGGGGACATCAATCAATATGAGTCCGCCATCTAAAATGATGTTGCTATACACGTACCCCGTCCACGGGGTTGAACGTGGTCACAACGTTGCCAAAGAGCAAAATCCGAAGCGGTTGCGAGGTCCCGGTTGCAATCGCTGCGATTGTCCCCACGGCCATCAAGAGGACATCGGTGCGGTCGGCGTAGCGGAAGAGATGACGAAAAGACACTAAGTCCCCACGCTGTTTCGCCTTGGCTTGACCTTTTTTCGACAAACCGTCCCCGGGTTGGGGCGTAAGGGGGGCAACGGGGGCATTGCGCTCTATGGACTTCATGACGGAGGCTACCAAGCGACGAAGCCCTTGTTGCGACTCCCTTGGCCACTTGCAAGATGCAATAGTCGAGGCGACACTCGAACTGGTCGATGAATACTCAATCAATGAAGAATAATAGATCGACATCCTTGCATAAATCTCGCTGATCATGAATATGGAGGCCCCTATATCGGCTATTTTTACCACGACATTGCTACGACGACAAGTTTATCGAGGGTAATCATCTCGATTACACGATTTTGATGGTTTTGATGGACTTTAGTTGTATTGAATACATGCAGCGGTCGTCACAAGGGCGCAAAAACGACTTTTCATGTTGTAACTTACGCTATCCTTAGAACGCTGGTAAGATTAGTCGTAGTCACGGCACGGTCAATGTTTATAAATATTTTTAGAGTAAAGGAAGCGACTACGACTGCTGCGACAAGATATCACACCGAAATGAAAAACTAGCCAGGACGAATTCATGTTCACCATCCACGAACTAGACATATCGCGTCGTCTGTTGGCTGGCTTGTTAGAGCAAGCGCGGGAGCTGCGGCGCAAAGACCGTGGCCGCGGCACTCAGATGCGACTCGAAGCGGCTCGCGGCAGCAGACATGATGGACAACGAAGTGGACGAAGGTTTGGCATGGGACGAGTGGCGACGTTGCATGGCTTCATGCTGCTGGCGGAAGGTCGTGCGAGTCGATGGCATGGCATGCTTCTTGGACTTCTTCGACGCCTTGGACGCGAGCAACGTCGTCGCGTTGACCTTGCGCGAAATGGACTTGCGCTGCGCCGCTGCCACCTCCGCGATGTCACACCAGTCGTAGAGACCTGAAGTGGACGAGGCAGCAGAAGGCGAGGGCATGTCGGAGAGGTACGTAGGCAGGCCGGAGCGAATTGACTTGTGGCACTTGGGACGTTCTTTGCGACGGAGAACAACAACCTTTGTCTAGCAACAATCCGCCAAGTGGCTCACCGAACGTTGGTGCGTGTGTTTCACTTGATGGCGCCCTCTGATTGGGTCCCGTTACATCGTCAAGCGGTGTGTATCCAGTTCACGACAAGCATATGCATGATGTCCTGGTTACATTTTCTTACAATTCGAAGGTTAAAAAGTCACGACGAAATGGATAGTTGTGGTCGTGGCTGAATCTAACTAGGATTTGTGCTTGTGAAAGAACTTGCAATTCGTATACACACAATATTGTGCCTGGAACAGCATGTAAGATCTAGAAGATAAGATTGCAACGTGAAGCAGTGTCCGAGTCAGACGAAGAGCGGGGGGTTGCAAAGGACTGCACCACCGACGGAAGGTCCTTATACTTCTGGCGGTCCAAGGCGCATGTGTATTGGCACATGAAGGAAGTACTTAGCGCCACGTCGATGCTGACCGGCCAGGTGGCCCTGGCTGGCGATACAGATCTACATATGGACGTGTCCAACATAGGTAGATTATTTGCTAGTGGCACTACTCTACCAACCAGTACGATACCCTAAGTGTTGTGTTGGGCTGCGAAACACGCCAACATGATCACTTGCGAGTCACAGGCGAAGAGGCGCCACAGGGGATGTCAAGTTGCACACGCGCGAACGTGACTGTATATCTGGTCTGTGAATTCAATGGCAACGGCAACAACACACTGTACATAGCAGGTTGAAGGAGTTTGTGCGAGCCAGAGAGACGAATCAAGGAGGATGCATGTCACAACTACTCTGCAAGCAGCTCCTTACTGTATCGGTAGCACAGTTGAGAGTGAATTGAAAAGCAATCGTATCTTTAAATTAGGCTAATTAACGGGCCATCCCCACCTGCATACATATCCTAGGTCATTCACATGAGCTTGGGCACGACGCAAAGGAATGCAGTGGCCAACTTTGCTTGCTGCATGATGGAGCTGTAAGCCACTGACTTGGATGCGCCACCACTGCCCTTTACACTACTCGCTCGTGACTTGGCCATGGATTCCTGTTGTTTCTTCAGCGCATTTCGTGGAGGCATCACTTGTTTTGAAGTGCGGCCAGCACGATGCATGGTCCGGGTGTTGGAAACACTGGGACGAGGTACTGCAACTGCTGGTCGGCGAAGTGCAGTCGCTGCCAAGGCGTCGCACCAAGAGTATAGCGCCATTGAGGGCGACGTAGTAGCAAAGTTACCGCTGTTGTTGGTGATGCGGGCGCTGCGGGAGCTCATGGTGTGTGCTGTCGATGGGAAATTGAGAAGTGATCCTACGGGTAGTTATTCTCGCTTTATGAGTTGCAAGAATGAAGATCTTGCGGAACCCCGTGCTGTCCTTTCTAGAAAATTGCATTGTTTCGTAACGGTGATTGGGCACAAATGTATTTCGAGGGACCAATCAAATCCGTCTAAACTTTGTAAAATCCAGACCGTTACACCGATCTTGGTATCCAACCAGCGCTTTGGAAACTTAAGTTTATAGCCAATGGCATCGCGCCATGAGTGGAATTTCCACAGAGTCAACCACCCCCCTGACATGATGCCACCAATTCATTCTACAGCTCTCAGCAGCGACATTATTCCGCACCGAAAGTGTCACGTGTGTCCATTCCCCAACTTGGACACTGCTTGCCAATGTGTGCAGCTCACAAGAAACGTCAGCATCAGGACTCGACATGGGATAAGTTCCGTCAGGTCATGTCGCGGTTCACAGCCAACGTGGAAGCGGTCGTCGCGGCGTTCCTCTTGTCGTCGTCGTCATCGGCAGCGTCGTCATCTGACGACCTGTCCCATCTCGCCGCCGCCATGCCATCCCAGCACATTCCGCGTCGCGTTCTCATTCCCACAGGTCGAGTGGCGCTGCGCGTCATGCACGAACGTCGGCAAGCCTGCAACTTTCACTCGATCAGCGACGACGTGGACAGCGACCAAGAAACCGAGGGCAGCGAAGACGACGCGTTTAGCTGTACCGGCTGGGATGACTCTGCCGAATGGCGGGATCAATGGAGTGCTTTGGTCACCCAGAGTCGGTTCCTCGACGAATACGTCAAGCATGTGTCTGCACACACTATCCAGCGCGCGATGCGCAAGTTTCTATGGTCGCGTCAACAGCACACGATCGCGGCACATCTCTTCCGCGTGCGAACCCCCCTCAAGTGCCTCTTTCGGCTACACCAAGAAATCGAGTTGAAGCACCGCGCGGCGGGTGTGCTTCAACATGCGTGGCGACACCGTCCGTCGGGGTCCAAGCCGAACCGACTCAAGAGGAAACGCACCGACGACCACAACCTCAAGCCGTCCGACGTGTGCCGGCAAGGCGCGTTGCTCGCGCACGCCGCCTTCCACAACCAAGACACCAAAGACATGCTTGTCCAAGCCCTCTTGTGCTGAAGACAACGTGAACAGACGTAGCTAGCTAGCTACGCACCACAACCTCCACACCATAGAAACAACATCCACAAATATAGAGAAACCCAAACCGCCATCTCTACTGTGCACCGGGCGTGGCCGTTCAACTCTCGGATATTAGTTTTTTATAGCTTTACTATGGCTGCGATCATATGTTGGAGTCGATAGCAGCAGCAGCGCGGGTCGTCCAGTCATACGGTGCCCATTGCGCTTGAAACGACTGGACGCGTGCGTTTTCCGCCGCGACGTTGGGGATGTACCGCCCCAGCCGCGGCGGGTCCACGTCCAGCATGCCCGCGAGCGTGTCCAAGCCAAAGTCGGCAGGGAACTGCGCGGCGTCTTCAATGATGTGCGCGTACCCGCCAAAGGACTGGTTGCCACTGCTGTTGCTGTCCCATTCCACGTGAAAGTAGGCAAAATTCTGGCACAACCAGATGAGCCACCATAGATATCATCCAACGAGGAGCGTTCAACATACCGGAGGCACGGTACGGTTGATGCCCTTGCCCGTAGTGTCCAAGATCTTCTGGTGCGTCGACCACTCTTCGTCGCATTCGAGCATGGCTTGCTTGAAGAACATGGGGGTGTCCATGCCGACATCCTTTGGCACGGGTACGCACTCGACGAATGTGTGGCGCTTTCGGCTGACGTCATACGTGCGCTCAAGGAACACCATCGACATGTCCACGGACGCTGCCATCGCCACCAGTGCCTATACACCCAGTGATATATATCATTTTTGAGTGATGATTGTACGAACCACTTTGAACTTGTGGACGTCGGCGGCCACTGCCTCGTCGGCACCTGACAGCGACGCCACATGTTCTGCCGGCACAATCAGACACTGCAAGTCTGCCACGGTGGACGCCGCAGGGAGCGCCACGTACGCATGTGGTCCCATCGCGACTACCAAATGCCCTTTGAACCTGTCGCTCTGGGGGCAATGTCGGCAATTCTGCATCGCCTTGTCCCATTGCATGCGATCGCTGCGGGCAGCGTGGTCCGACGCAGCCACAAACGCCTTCTCCGTCAGCCTCGACGATTGATGCAATTTGAGCGCCGTGGGTGTCTCGTCCTCGTCAAAGCTACTGGCAGCCCCCGTCTTTCCCGCAGACAACTCGGAGCCTTCGTACCGAGTCCCCAGGCGCACAATGTTGCGCGCGTACACGGCGTCCATGTGGGTGTCGCCACTGCCAGCCTTTTCCTGCCGCACCATCTCGTCCACCGACATGTTGACGTCGGAGGATTGTGCTTTGCCTTGATGGGAGCCGACGGCTACATCAACGTCGTCCGGACGGTGGGGCGGCGGCAGGTCGGCTGGCTCCCGCGGACGTACCATGGCTCTTGGGGCTTTGGCTGGCTTTTGATGCTTCTTGGACGGTGCAGCTGCAACTTGATGCTGCGAATGCTCCAACTCGTTGAGTTGTTTGGTCAACGTGTGGAACAAGGGCAGGTTGCCGCGCATCTTGGCTCTCAACGCTTGCGCCGCCAGCTTGTTCAAGTCCACGGGGTCGTCCGAGCTCACTCGAGGACTACTAGTAGTAGTAGTAGTACTACTACTATTAGCCGTAGCGGAAGGTGGTTTCGCTTGAACGACCGCAGTAGTAGTAACAGTAGTAGTCGTACTACTAGTAGGAGGACTCTTCTCCAACATGGCGGTGGTGGTGATGGCGGGTGGCTGACGATACAAGAAGGCCGCTCGCCGCGCCGCGTCTTGTTGCTGTGCTGGAGTCCTCTCGACGACGGTTGGTGCTCTCGCCTTGGTTGTTGATTTGTTCGAGTCGATTCGAGTGTCTACCTGACGATGAGGCGGCTGGGTGCGTCTTCGCCGGTCCGGGCTTCGGCTACGACTTCGACGACTTGTGTCTGGCCGATGGGGACTTTGGCGTCGACGGTCATCCGGGCGACTGCGTTTGTGTGGTCGCTTGTCGTCATCGTCGGGTAACTTTGAGTAGTCGATGGGTCCGCCATCCTCTTGGTCTTCATTGGCGTGTCGTCCCGACGTTTCTTTCGATAACGTGGTAAACTTCATGCGCGAGGCGTAGTCTGCAAGCACAGTCTTGTCGCCGCTTTTGCCGTTGGCGGTGGCGGTGGCGCCATGAGACTGGTGCTGTTGCGGGCGACGGGGGCGCTTGTACCGCAGATGGGAGTCGTCGTCGCCCTGCCGTCCTAGCGCGGCCTGCGCCTCCAACTCGGACAATGCCATGCCATACTGCGCTCGCACGATCGACTCCAACGACTCGCCGGTGGCTGCAGCCTTCTGCTTGGCTCGCTGCAGCATTTTTCGCTTCCAACTCGCTCCGCCATCGCCGACACTCGGCAACGCCGCGGGGGCAGCCATGGCGTTCTCGATGGGGGCGGCTTCGTTCTTCGGGTCGTACAGACCGTAGAGAAGCCCCGAGTTGGGTTCACGAAGCCCTCGGTCGATCTCTCCTTGCTTCTTGGATTCCAATGCAGCAGTGCGGGCTTCGTCGGCGGTCAACTGCTTTGCTCGCGGTGGGCCTCCGATAAAGTCCTAGATCGAATGTTAGTATCGCAATCACGCCTACATTGAAGAAGAGGACGACCATATGCATCCATTCATCGCGTGGAAGGGCGGATGTTGGGGTCGGGAGGGTTGATTCGGACACAGGTGTGGACTCTGTTGCGACGTCGTGGTCCTTTTGCTAGACAATTGGTGGCCTCAGCTACGTCTTGAAGGGATGGACGTACCTTCTTCTTGTGGCTGGATGACGACTTGTCATCTTTCTTCTTGGAATCTTTCTTTTTCTTCTTGTCCTTCTTCGAATGATCATCCTCGTCGGACGCCGCACCAAAGCGGATTCCCGCCAGCAACGACGACATGTGCCTGCCGTAGGAATCAACGATGAGAATGGAGCGTCCCAATTGGACATAAATAGCCTCAATATTGGTTTGATTAGTCCAATAGGCTATCAGAATGCGTTGAAAATACCATTTTTTCACCCAATTGTGAGTCATTTCGCAAAATAGGGTTAGCCGTCGAATCAGTATAATACTACGCAGTATATGGTTTTGCCCAATGCGGTCAAACGTTTGGATTCGCAGAAATGTGCCAGAACGTGATTTGAATGGCTTAGACTATTTTTTAATCGTTTTGCATACTACAGTGTAACGTTATAGTACACTAATATTCTAATCTGTGTATCATCGTACAGTTTACAGTTAAATTGCGTCCGAATGCTAGTAATATTTGGCAAAATGACTCATAAGCGTTCAAATGTTGGGCTGAAAGAGAACTTCCCATCGACGCATGGCCATCGACCAATGGCGTGGTGTGCGAATATACCAAACGACGTTTGGGTTCCGAGGTTTCACCCATCCTTGTGTGGTCGACACAAATGCACGGTTGGAGTGTTGGTATCCTTTGACAAAACAAGGACATTCATTCAAGAAAGGCTGCACGTTGTCGTCAGAAAGGCAATTTGCACGTGCCAACCACGAGATGATGACAAAATCGGAAGCGTCACCACTGGTTAAAGCATCCACGCCAACGCCTTGTGGATTTGATTTGTGCGGCTATCGAGTTGGCAAGGTTGGTGCCTGTGCCCTGGCGTCCCTTGTCGTGGGTGGGCTGATTGCTGCTTGCATCGCTGGTTCCACGAGCCAAGTCGAACCACCTTTCTGCGACCCGAAAACCCGCCACGAATTCGGCTACATCAAGCTACCGCACAAGACCAACGACCAGTACTTTTACTCGTTCTTTGAGTCCCGTAATGACCCAGCCACCGACCCCCTCGTGATGTGGCTCGAAGGCGGCCCCGGGTCGTCATCTACCTGGACGTTGTTCAACGTCAACGGTCCGTGCTTCATTGGTGACGACGTCAACTCGACGGAGCCGAATCCGCATTCGTGGACCAATCGCGCTAACGTCATCTGGTTGGACCAACCCACGGGCGTCGGCTTCTCGCAGGGCGACTTCCAAGACGACGACCACAACGAAGGGGATGTGGGGCGCAACGTTTACGAATTCCTTCAAGGGTGGCTGAAAAAACATCCGACGTTTCAATCCAGACCGTTCTTCCTGACGGGGCAGAGCTACGGGGGCCACTACGTTCCAGCGGCGGCGCATTACATCGTGACCCGCCAGTCGGCCACCAACCAAACAGCCAATACCATTCCCATCAATCTACAGGGTATTGCCATTGGCAACGGGTTCACAGACACGCCGGTGCAACTTCCGATGATCGTGGACATGGTCGAGAGTGTGAAAGACCAGTACAACATCACGTTGGCCTCCCCCGCGGAACTCTCCCAAATGCGTCGAGATGCTCTAGTGGTGGCGCATCTAATTGAGCAATGCCAGCTACCCAACGAAACCACATCGTGTTTGGACGCGCTAGAGATGTGGGGAGAGCGCCTCTTGGCCCCCATGACCACAAACCCTTCGCGGAACCCATACGACATTCGCCAAGTGTGCGACCCCAACTGCAGCGACTACGGCATGGCCAAAACGGGAGTGTACTTGAACCAACCGTGGATTCAAGCTCGGCTCGGGGTCAACAAGTCGTACTCGTGGAACAACGCCACGGTGGCGATGGCGTTTATCGGCGACGGGGGCAAGTCCGCTGTCCAGTACATGCCTGCCGTGTTGGAGAGCGGTGTCAGCGTGCTGTTGTACGTTGGGGATGCAGACCTCATGTGCGACTACAAGGGCAACGACGCGTGGTCGAAGGCGCTCAAGTGGTCTGGCCAGGCTGCTTACAATGCCGCGGAGGTCCAAGACCTAGTGGTTCACGGGAATATAGCCGGCCAAGTGCGCTCTGCCGGCAACTTGGCGTTTGTCCGAGTATTCAACTCAGGCCATGGGGTGCCAGTCGACCAACCGGTCGTGGGACTCGCCCTGATCGATCGATTTTTCAACCGTTTGGCCTTGAATGATGAAGTGTAGTGTTCACAAACCATGATGGAAGCGACTTCTTGCGAGGTCATTTATTTTAGTTGCCGATGCCATAATACCATATTACCATGGAGGCGTAGAACCTTTGAATGGGCTATAGATGTTCTACCCTATCTATCTATCTATATATTGTGAATTCGCTATAAACTTCCGAAATTCGCATGGTTTGTCTGATCAATATTCAATCATGCTGGAGTTCTGATTGGTTGAATATGCTTGTCCTTTCTGTAAGAGCCAATCAAATACACTCAAAATTGGATTAGCCAATAGCGTCGATTCGTAATTCGATTCGCTGGCGCCGCGACAGGGTCTGGAAATTTGTACCGAATCCACAATAGTAGTACATTTTAGTATATCATCCAAGATATCAATACTGAAAACTTGATAGAACACGGCGACCTCCAGACCAGTTAGTCGTGTATTCCCAAAGTACCCTCCATTTCCAGCCCCAGCATTATTATCTCAGCTGACATGGAGATGCAATGTGTATGTTGAAACGATTCTGCCGAATAGACATCGATGTGCTACGAGTCAAGCTGATGCAGCTCAACCAAACTGGTGGTGAGTCGTTGGATCCAAAAGGATTCGACAGCTTGAGTTGTGGAGGCGCTAATGTTAACGTTAGACTGTTGCTGTAAGGCAGAGATGAGGAAAGCTACACTTCTTATAACAAGGTGTTGACGATAAACATATACGTGCAACATGACAGAACCTGCGGCATCCTTGGGGTGGTGGTTCGAATTGGCAAGGGTCTGTGTTACGATCGAATATTGGAAGGACGATCGAAGATATTTTAACGTTACGAATGAAAGCGGCTCCTACAAATGCCCATGTCGACTTCATCTGCAGTTGTGAAGGGGTTGGGAGCGAATGAGAGAAAACGAAGCGTACGGCTCCTTAAACAAGGGTACTCGGAAACTCAAAGGCACCAGACAAACTTGGCCGTGGATTTCCCGGATTTGAGGGACCACTTGACCTCCAGGGGGCTATTAGTAGCACTGGCTGAAAGCGCAATCGCCATTTCAGTTTCGGTCGTTAATGGCTTCATGGGAATACGGGGATGCCATTGGCTAATGAGATTTCTTGGAGCCAATGCCATGCCACGACAACCTATGATCCGACGGTGCGTGAGTACAATCCGAGACGCCAAGGCGCGGTTGGTCGGACGAGGTCTTGCCTCCAGCGACGTCACCACGCTACTTTCCCATGCCCACGACCCTCCTCTGTCAAGAGAAAGCCTGTATTTGCACCCTGACAAGCTCGTACGTCGTACTCTGGTGACCAAAGTTGATGATGTGACTTGAGAGCGATTATCTGCACAGTTGACACCTCTCGAAAGCCAGCGCCTGGAGCTCTTGACCAGTCGTCGACTGGGCGGTGAACCGCTCGCGTACGTGGTGGGCGTCAAGGAATTCTGGTCACTTCCGTTCAAAGTAACGTCGGACACGTTGATCCCTCGACCGGACTCGGAGCTGTTGATTGAAACGCTGCTGGTACATGACGCTCTTGATCTGTAGGACAGGTCGACTGAAATTGGATTCTCTAGTGCTTGCATGCCAAGGACTCACCGCTTCGTATTCTGGACATTGGCACAGGCAGCGGTTGTCTATTAGTAGCCGCCCTCACCGAATTCCCGTCGGCTTGCGGTGTAGCAATCGACATTTCGCCTGCAGCTTTGGCAGTGGCTCAAACTAACGCTACCACTCATGGCGTGGCATCCCGTGCGACGTTTATCGAGCAGGATCTGCGTCGGTTAAACAACATATCCCACTGGAGCACTCCGCCGCCCTTTGACGTTGTGCTATGCAACCCGCCGTACATTTCCGTCGACGAAATTCCACACATGGACACCGACGGTAGGATTCTATCGTTTCGTCTGGGTTTCTAGCTAGCAACAAACTCACGGGATTATGGACGCAGTGGTCGCTTATGAGCCTCACGAGGCCCTCTTTGCAGCCGAGGACGGTCTAGCGTTGTACAGTGATCTGAGGCACCCGCTGCTCCACCGCTTTCTTCGACCAGGGGGTCACGTGTTGTTCGAAGTTGGGTTTCGACAAGCGCAACGAGTGTGCGACATGTACCTGTCGGCGTCGTTTCAACGAAGCAACACCTTGGACCAGGTGATCTTTCAAGATATTCAAGGCATAGACCGAGTGGTCGTGCTGCAATCTCCGACACATTCCAAGGAATTTGTTCAAAAATGAGATTGACGCGGTAGCCAGCCAATACGTAGGTGGTGGGGCCGTAGCCTTTCCAAGTACATGGATACAGTACATAGCTAGCATCGACTTTGCGACGTAATGATGTCGTAGTTCCTTGTCTTGTAAATATGCGTGTAACTACTACTAGAGGTTGTGAAATACATGCAACGATACTTGGTCCTGTTCGTAATTAAACGGTGCATTTCACCACGACTGCTCCGTCGCCTCATTGCAAACCTGCAACTGTTGACGGTTAGCTCAGTCCAATGGCTAGTCGAATGCCCGAAGTGCGCTTTCTCGACACTTGGGCGGAATATTTCGATGGCAAGGCCAACATGGGGGGGCACACCCTTCGATTGTGCCTAGCATTCCATAGGCTCGGGGGTTGGTCCTTGTGAGTGAGTCTTGGCCTCTCAATCGAATCGCCGGAAGCCCACGAGTTGCACAAGGAAATGCATTGCCTCATCCATCGAGACCACTTGATCGCTGGGCCCGTCAACAACGATTTCTACTTGTGTCGGGATCGCTTGGAGCAACTCGACAGGCGTCTTGACTTTGGACACGTCGCCCATGGCCGAGTTGACCTTTCTCGCCGGCAACTTGGGCGTCTTGCTCTGGCGAAACAGCTTCTCGCGGTACTTTTGCGCACGGGTCTAGGTTTGTCTGGGCGTGCGGGTGCCAATGTCTTTGGCGATGGCTTTCCACGGTCCTTGGGGGAACAAGTCGATGGCCGCAAGGAACCGAGTGTGCTCAATGACGGTCCACGCGCCAGTTGTGGTCGGCGCCGCTTTGGAGGTGACGGACGCATGCCCGAGGAACATGGCTTGAGTAGAAAAGTACTTCATGGCAATGGGAGCGAATGGATACATAATGACAAAGGTAGATTTACTGCTCCATGATGGTATGTGACATACCATCATGTTGGCACGACCAACCCCTCGTTTGAACCAGTGCCAGCCAATGAAAGTCGGGTGGGTTATGACTGATTCGGTCATAACATGTTGCCCTTGTCACTTGACGCCTTGTGAGAAAAATTAGATCGGGACAATTATACTGTATGACCTTCCATGGATGTATTGTGCGTCGGAACTTTATTTGACCTTCTCGAACAAACGCGGCCAGTTCGGAATCGACGCAATTGCGAAGCCTAGCAGCAGCAACAGCTTGGTGAAGTTGTACAGTACACATTCTATAAGCTTACCTAGTTAGTGGGGAGATTCAATGGGTGTCGGATGATTAAGGTACGAGAAGCATCCCCGCTCGCCATGGGATTCGAGCAGCACCAGCAACCTCTGGTCGTGGTTTGCCGAAAATACCAAAATGATTTGGTCCGTTTCTATATTCCGAGCTTCGTCACGGCAACAGCTCACCACCAGTACGAAAGGCCCTTTGGATGATCAAATTTTGACTGGTGATATCTTGGAGAACAACGTCCTGTCGTCACCATTCACTCGGAGACGACGAAAATGACGAAGTGCGACAGGTGGGGCTTGAAAATTATGGAACCGTCGCAATTGGTGAAGGACTGTTAAACTTATACCTCACACGACATTCCACCGTGCAAGTTGGAGACTTGACAGTGGACTTCCTTTCACTGTCAGCAGTGATCGCTAGAATACATAACAGAAATCGACATGCGCGGAGATTCCACTTGTTTTGAATCCAAAGTGTCACATTTCGTCATCGGGTAGTGTCGTGGACGATCCAGAATTTTTGACAAAATCCACGATATCCCATTGGTGATGGAAGTGCCACGGTTTTATGCTGTGGGAGTATAAATACGTCCAATCGACGCCAACATTTGCAATGCAGGTTCAAACATGATCATGGCTACGAGCCATGGGGTCACTTGCTTGAACTGGCACATGTATCGAAAGAATCTCCAGTCTATGTTAACTTAGTGGAACATGCGAACCCAATTGGAAGGAGGGGGGGTTGTGATGAAGGATTCACTTTCTTCGGCCTCAACACCATCCCGATCGTACCATGTTTTGGCTTGACTTTATGGCGCTATCATTTGCTGGGGTCGATGATGAAGTTCGTAATCAATCGCATTGTCAACAGTCGATGTTGTACGCCACGTGGTCACTGACCTACAGTATGCAGTTGCCCAACTGCATTGAATGATTAAAAAGGGTTCTGGTCTGGGAAGATTTGTTCCAGAACGTCAAGTGCAGGCAATATCCAACCTGTAGTCGGCATATCCTCGGGCAGTCACATTGTACCGCAAAACGCGCAATTTGTCTTGATCATTTTCGTTTTCAACTTCAAACCTCCACATATTACCGTCCTCGCGGTGGTTTCTCATTATTCAATTGTCCACTACAGCACTACTACCATGAAGTACTATTCCACTCAAGCCGTGCTCGTCAAGCCTACGTCCTGCACACCCAGGTAGCCCCGACCTCGACCAGGGTTTGGACTGTCATTGAGCACACTCGGTTCTTTGCGGCCATCGACTTGTTCCCCCAAGGACCGTGGAAAGCCATCGCCAAAGACATTGGCACCCGCACGCCCAGACAAATCCAGACCCATGCGCAAAAGTACCGAGATAAGCTGTTTCGCCAGAGCAAGGCGCCCAAGTTGCCGACGAGAAAGATCAAGTCGGCCATCGGCGACGTGTCCAAAGTCAAGACGCATGTGGCGTTGCTCGAAGCGACCCTTCCTGCGTGCGTGCCCAGCAAAAAACACGCTCTCGATGGACGACGCCATGGACTTCCTTGTCGAGTTGGTGGTCGACTCCAGCGACTGGGATCTTTTCGACACTCCAGTTGCCGACGGAACCACAGCTTGAAAGCTTGGCAAGTATGAGTCTCCTCGAGGAGAGACTTTCCATTACGACGATCCATGATCGTGGTCCGATTCAAGGCAACCCCCCTAATTGCCAAACAAGTCTGCAAACTGCACAGCGGCATCAATGTTGGTTTAAGAACTTATTTATGAAATCCTTGCTGCATTCTTGAAGTAGCGCTAGTGTGCTGCTATACACGCATCATCCCGCCTTTGAAACGGATGGTCTCGACTCGAGACCATCCACAACTACCATGACACCTAGCCCTTCCTAGACCATCGTCGTTTCCAAATTCGGATGTAAAGTGGATGCCGAGATATTGTGGATATTTTGCTGAAATGGACCGGGCTATCCCCGTCACTACACCTCCGAATCTATTCTTGGCTTGATTCACAGTACATAGTCGAGAGCATCCACGACCCCTTTTGTACTTGTATTTGAGATTCTAAGAAAAAATATATGAAATTCAGTAGGCACACGTAGTTTTCCTTAGTGAATTCGATTCTGCCATTAAAATACCTTGATTCACTTTACTTTTCGAGCAATGGTCGAAATACCTTTCAAATGTCGCATGCAAAACACGCATAACATTATATATTGTAACCTTGAGTTGTAACGGTTACACAATTATTTGAAATGGTCAAATCTAATACAGACCTTAAGTGTAAAAGAAAGCTTCATTAAAATGAGAACTGTAAGAACAAATTAATATTTTTAATAAAATAGAAAGGGTCGTTGTGTGAACGGATAGCCTGTACTGTACTCGCAGTCGTCTCGTACTTTGCACGTTATTTGTACACAGCCCCCCACTCTTCCTTTCACGACAATGTACATACACATTCAGGCGTAAATATTGATGGCAAAGTGTATGGTCTTCCTTTCGTACCAAACCAGCCGTCGATTGCCAAGCCATGTACTGTACCTCAAGTCCACAACCGAAGAATTGACACGCAAGGACTGTCTCCTGCTGTGACGATTCCTCTAGATTTGGCGTACGTAAATGTCGCAATGTCGTCACCGCGCAAAGGTCCACGCCAGGATTTTGTTCTAGAATTCCACTCGAAATTCTTGAACGTTTAATTGGATGATGAGGTTGAAGTTTACGTGTGCTGTATAATTTGTACTAGTACTAGTACACTAGGTCGACTCGAATTGCAACATCGTGCAACAATAATGCCGTGGGATTCCTAGACAAGGCAGAATCAATCGACAAATGAATGTAGCCACTCAGATCTGCGCAACGATACTGCAGGGGGGAGCAGGCTTGCGTGACTTCATCACGATTTAAAGTTAAAGAATCGCATACTCGTAGACTACAGTACTGTACTCGTAAGCCTCAACTGGTCCATTTCTGGTTTCTGTAGGCATTTCAGCACACTGAAGTTTGCTCTTGAATAATCAGCCACCACAGCTCAAGTCTCCTTCTATACACATACAACTGTACTTGACGGCGCTGTGCAAAGTGGAAAAAACGCGTTCAAAGTGCCGTAAACCTGTTGGCATGTAATATGACGTGACTGTACCTATTGTCTCCAAAATCTACAATGATGGTCATTCATGGATACATTTGTTGATCCCAAGATTTGATGTCATACACTTGCAGAATTTCTTAGAGTTTCATCCGGGCTAACTGTAAAGGTTGGGATGCCATATCACACCAACATACCTTTCAACTGCTTTACACTGTCCTTGCAAAGGGGAACGCAACAGGTTTAGAACGATGCCTCCACAGCTTCGAGACAAAAAGAGTTTTGTATGCTACTTCAGTATTTCGAATATTCACGCGAATAAAATGTCACTTCTAATACATGCATTCATGTCCATCAAACGTCCACATCAACCAGGAATTTCACCATGACGATGGATATGCAGTCGAATTGTGAAACGTTGCCGTCAGGCACAAGTCGTACACAAGACATGTCCCAGCATAATCAACTTGCATGGACAATCCGAGATCATTATTCAATTGTTGGGCTCACGATGAAGTACTTTTCACCCCATTCGATGCTGCAAGTGCCTTGCTCCCATACGCCCAAGGCAACGCCAACCTCAACTGGCCCTTGGACATCAGATGAACATGCTCGCTTCCTTGCAGCCATTGAGGCGCTCCCCCAAGGACCGTGGAAAGCTATCGCCAAGGATATTGGCACCCGCACACCTCGACAAGTGCAGACACACGCCCAAAAGTACCGCGAAAAGCTGTTTCGTCAAAGCAAGACGCCAACAAAAAAGGCCAAGGCAGCACTCAAATACGATCAAAAATGCATCGAAGCGACCCCATCATGTGACACTAGTGACGACGATGCATCCTCACTCTCGATGGACGACGCGATGGAGTTCCTCGTCCAACTCGTGGCGGACTCGAGCAATTGGGACCTTCCCGACGAACCTTGGGCTGCTTGAGCATGGACCTAAGCACGCTGCATTCCTTCCGCTGCATTGAACCCAGGATAAGGAAAATGACGAGCCCCGTGTAGCCAAATCAATCAGCAAACATATTTAGTAATTTCAGTTTTTTCCACTTCATTTTGTCAGCTGCGCGATATTTTCGAGATTTAGAAGTATATACCAACCAGTAATGAATTCGCCGGTGCTGGAGTAACGATAATATAGCACATGTCATCTGCCAGCAAAATACTTGTATCACGTGACGGATCTGTGATCAGCCGAATTTGAGCTTTTACACTGTACTGTTAACTTAACGGGATAATTAGGTCTCGAGTTTACAGTTTGCTGGTCAGCCACCAACGAATGTTTCAAACATTGTTATATCATCACATAATCATTAAGAAGGATACGAAGTACACATATCAATTCCAGTCGAATGGTGCGACGGTAAACGCCGTTTTTGGGGTCAAATATGCAACGGTGCGACGGTATCTACCGGAAACGGAATACTTTTACAGCGAGACGGCAAATTGGCCATTTTTTCCGTTTTGTGGACACCGAACGGCAAAATACAGGAGCCAATCATTAACTACTATTTTAAGTATTTTCACCAACCAATGCAAGAGGGTGTTACAAAAATAATATTCCATTTTCTCGTAAAATGGAGGTAAAAGGTCCATTTTGTAATATACCTTCTCAACGAGTAAATCCCACTCGGAATTCTTGTATACATTCCAAGCATACTATAAAACATCCAGATAATAGTTAGGCATCTCAAGTGTCGAAATGGTGGACACTATGTCATGGAACGTGGCTACGCAATAATTAGTCTGCACTCAATATGTACCAAGACATTTAACGTTATTCGTCGGTGTAGATCAGCTAACCATCAGCAGCACAACGATATTGTGGCTCGACATGAACAAATGATCGAGGTCTGGTGACTAGGGGCTAGTGATTTAGCCAGTTGCAAATTTGGCCCATACTTAATTGGAAAATGAGGAGTCTCTGCTCAGCACATGACACAATGAGGTTTTATCACTTATCATTCATGGAGCATATAATAAAATCCAGTTTCTCCCTCATCTCCCCTGAAAATTTACAGTTTTGACAACCCCACCAGGCGGCTGTAAAACCGCAGAAACTGTATAATTTTACCTCGACTGCAAATCGGCCAGATTTACAAATTCGACTTTAAAATACTGTTTTGACGAATTAGCCAATAATATGCTACCAATGCTTAATTTTGTCCAATCATCGGTGAGATGCAGTTGACGGAAAGCCAACAATCACTTTCCTTCGAGAAAATGGATCGATCAAACACGCTCGTGGTTCGCATTCAACATGTTGCTTAGAACAGTCGTCGTTCTCAACCGTATCGTCCAAGGTGAGTCCATATATTAATAAATCTGGGGGCACGAATTCATTTCGACGTCATATCTCGGCTGAATAACCACTAATCGGCTGCATTACCCGGATTTATGTCTGTTGCAATGTCCGTATAAATCGGCAGATTTGAGGTCGATCATGCCAAATAAGTTCCAAGCACAATAACCTATATCGACCTTGTCCACCTAAAGCCGGGGTGAGCTTACCGTACAGATAGCTTCCCCTTGAAGTAGATTGAGATCGCATCCGAAAAATCAGTCCCTACAAATTCGAGCATATTTAGCCTGACCATCCAGGGACAGGTTGGAATGGCTGCCAACTGCTACGTAGTATTGACTACAGTATTTAGGGCGGAATGGTGGTCAATGATCTCACAAGTCATCGACGTCGTCCAAAGCAACCTTATGCATCAGGGTTGATTTCCGGATATGATAGTTAAGCTGCGAAAATCAAAATACAAAAACTGTAATACGGTATTTTACGGTCTGCTTATACAGTCTTACCGGTGGGGAATGCTCTTATGCCATAAACCGTTGTGACAAGTCTGCAAATTTTCGCAAAGTCTCATATCCCATGAATAAATAGGAGAAAAGTACCACATAACGTTATCTACGAAGTTGTCTTGATGCCAAGTGAATTTTGGGGAAATTATTCGTTTTCCGATTCAAGTGCAAGATGTCAATGTGAACACAATCCTCTATAAAACACCCGATTCTCAAGAAGACGGTGGTTAATTGAGTTTGGATTATCATTTAGACGGTGGCATCCAGACCCACAAAATCTTAAAAAGTGGAATATTTACATTATGGCAACTTTTCTTTACATGACATTTTTTATGACATCCAGACAGCAATATTGTATCCGATCATCCGACCACCGATCAATTTTAAGAGTTTGAATATTGTAATAAAAATGTCATTGTTTGGCGCGATCGGTGATCAGCCGAATTGTACACTTATTCAAAGTATCCAATTATTTCGGCTTTAGCGAAATGAAAATAACATTTTAAATATCGTTAATATTGTGAATTTCGCCTTTGGGGACTGCCAACAAAGCGACACCACGTTTTGATTCGTCATAAATAACACATTTTAGCGTTTGCCAATACAGTATTCCAATGACAATTCGGGAATGGAGGACTTCCAAAACCTACACAAATCGCCGACACAGACTATATTTGTCCGCATATGATGTATATTATTATTGTGATCAAATTTGCTTCCTCACGTCACTCGATACTAGGGCACCAAAACCTGCGCAAGTAGCAAACTTTCCCTAGTTCTATTGGGTGAAATTAAATTGAATCAACAGTTTCATTAGTTAAAATTGAATGGCATCGAGCACCGAAAATGCTTCAAGTAACATGAAGCTCGCTTTGGTGCTTGTGGCCTCGCGAGGCAGCGCCTGCGGCGAATCATGTATGCTCTACAAATCCTCAGACAGTTGAAAGAGCGAAACATCGTTAAGTCAGTTGCACTCGTCGAATCCCAGGAGATGAGACAATGGTACACCATGTACAATGTCCAACTTTCTCAGTCATTTGTAGCGACTGTGTCGGTAACACCTAATGCGTTCGATCACATCTTCCATTACTTTAAGCACGAGTATGTTGTGCTCTCACGACCTGGTAAGAGTGGTCACCCTCCTCGCATACCAAAGAAGCACGCGGTACTAGCGATGCTACTGCACATTTACACAGCCAAAAGGCAATACCTCTTGGACGTGGTCGAGCAAGAGATCAATCGACGCCGCACACCAACGCTTGCTTTCGATATGGGCTCTTTGGAAGTCGAAACGGGACATCCACGAACGTTGGTGGGAACGTGAAGTCCAAATCGTTGGTTTACCTCTTAATATTTGTATCAATAATCAAAGTAATTTTGTGCGATGATGAAACACAAACACCACGATTTGTTGAGACCAAAGAACAGCCTCAACAAATTATGCGAGGTCAAACACATATTCTTATTTGATTCTGTTTTATGTCGAGGTCAGCACAAATTCATTTGTGTAGGTTTTGGAAGTCCTCTAATGTGAAAGGTCTCACAGCAACAATCGGGAGTGGGGGCAACACGGCACGATGCGTACTACGCCAACCGTTTTTACTTCGACGTGTCTTATACAGTCACGGATTTCATGCAAACAACTTGCTAAGGGCTCTTCTGGATGCCACGAATTATGGCAAAAAATGACGAAAATCTCCATAAAATGGTGAAATGACAAAGTCGCGAAGTTGTTTCGTCTGGATACCACAAAATTCAAAGGAAATATTACAAAACTATAGCTAGAAAGTTCACGAATTATGGCATAAAAAAATGGACCAAAATGGTCAATTTCTCATGAAAGACAGTCCATGTGACCACTTCAACATCAATGTTCTGTCAAAACGGCGCATTTCGAAAACCGCTGCAACCCCACAGCACACAGATGGGCCTTTGGACCACCACGTTGGACGAGATCGTGCAGCAGTCCACCATACTAGTACGCATCACGGGACATTCGAAACGTCTCCTCGAAGGCATCCTCGTTTTCTTGCAGTAACGTTATTTCGGCAACCCACAAAGCCCCTGACAAGATGGAGACCCGCTTTGACGTCTTCAAGAGGTAGGCGGAGTAGTGGTAGACCAGGTATGACATCAACTTCATGCGACGTCGCTTGAGGCGCCGCCGACGATGCAGGATCATCATGGTCGTGAGCACTGTTTTGGCGCGCAAGTTTGAATCCGGATGAATCCAGACGGTTTCACCATCTCTTCATTTTGTATTGCGTTTGTATATTGGACAAATTTTGTAAAATCTCATTTCGAGTTTTGGCATAATTTTATGGCGTGGTATCCAGAGGAGCCTAACGTTTACAAGTAGAGCTAATGTTGAAAAATACTTCAAGTATAAAGTTATTTGTAGGAGATGTATCCGGATAAATGGACTACTACACCGTTGACCGTAATTAGTACGGATTTACTGTGAGAATTAGTGCTGTCCTCACTAATCCTCACTAATACATGTGTGATGGAATTCCAGAAATTTGTGGTTGGTAATTGTGCACCTTAACTGTAAATTGGACCGCTTGTATATGCTGTTTGTGGACAAAGTGGTGTGAATAATAACGAATTATAACAGAAAACATATATCATTCATAACTCCCGAGTAGGCCTAGATTATGGCTTCATGTAACATATCGTAGATTTATAATCAGATTCCTATTAGTCCAGCATCTCGGAAAAAGTATTCTTAAATTGGAAGTTGGTCAATGAGTTTTTTACTTACAAACAGTAATGTAGGGCTTCACTCAGTTCCATATAAGGCTTACGTTGTATTTGCATCCTCGACATGCGAGTGACAACAACCTAAACGCATACTACGTAGTACATCAGGCAACAATATGTTCTGGTTGTCGGCAGCCGCAAGTTATAAAGAAACACGCCTGCATCGATTCATAATTCAAAGTCCTGCATGGGGCATCGGAGGTACCTAGCATATACGTTTGCTTTGGACAACGGTGATGACGTGGAATTCACTTGTGAGATCCTTGACCACCTTCCCGCCCTATATAGTCAGTAGTAGGCCGCCATTCCAACCTGCTCCTGGATAGTCAGGCAGAGGATGCTCGAATTTGTAGGGACAGTCGCACCCCGGTGGAGATGCTCTCACTATTCAGTCTTAACGTTATAGTCCATTTAAAGAATGGGGAGCAAAGCTCACCCGCGCTTTAGTTGGACTGTAGGTACATGTATATGGACTCACCATGGACGATGCGGTTGAGAATGACGACTGTTCTAAGCCACGGGTTGATGGAAGTAAGGAAAATCGGCCATTCCCACCTGAGAACTTGTGTCACAGCTCAGCGAAGGTCGTGTTTTGGTTGGGCTGCCGATGCACTCGACGAGTTTAGTGAAGTGTCAGCCACGAGGATCAATTTGCTCGATCTGTCAACTAACATAACACCGATGATTGGACCAAATCATCCATTTCTAACATGTTATTGGCTAATTCGTCAAGACTATATTTTACAGTCAAAACTGTACGGTAAATCTGGCCGATTTGCAGACTCGCGGTAAAATTATACAGTTTCCTGTATTTTACAGTCGTCTGCTGTATTTATACGCTATTTTACAGCTCTATCCGGATTATTTACAGTTTTGACAACCCCACCTGTAAAATAAAGAAAACTGTATAATTTTACCGCGAGACTGCAAATCGGCCAGATTTACAGTTTCGACGGTAAAATACAGTTTTGACGAATTAGCCAATACTCCGGAGTAACAAGCTATCAATGGATAGTTTTGTCCCTACATATCGACATCTTCTCAATTGACTCTACGGTAAATTTATCTTTGAGCACTTCATGACAGAATAAAGGTTTTACTTGTTGCATGCTTTTATATATCCAATCATATCAATTCTGTAATCCTATTGGGTAGTACAGCTCGGCTTATCACTGATCATTCGACTGATCACAGATCATTTGGCTGATCACAGATGCGCCACGTACTGTACTGTTGGTCGCCCTTCGAGCTGCACCATTCATGTTGCACCGATTACTACTTCGAAGTACACCTTTTGATCAAAGTGGTTAACGCCCCGTTCTCCACAATAACTACTAGTTCTTGTATAACGTTAAATAGTACTTCCTGGAAGTTGTGATGCCAATCGAACGCACTGCAGTGTGAGAAACCATCGAGAAGTCAATATGAACCGATTTATTCAACGGTATCACACAAAGACTGATCCTGCATTATTTACATAGGTATAGTACTACTACGCAGTACTTCTAGTATCTAGTACAGGCCAGCTACAGCAGCTTAAATGTTAACGTTATAAGTGGCAGTTTTCTTGGACGTCGCGACATTTCATGCACAATCGCAATTGTGAAAAAATGTCCAAACTGTTGACAATAGATGGCCTCGGCGGAGAGGAACACTTGGCTGAGATCGAAGTCGATGCTTCATAATCGTCGATTGTAACGTTAACGTTGACGTCGATTTGCTTGCGATTAACTACTACTAAGCATATTAATAGTACTACTTTATACGCTTTGTTTGACTTGATCGTCCCATTGGTCCCGAGTTCGACCCCGCGCTCGAACCAATACCTTCACAGTTTCAGAATTTCTCATCAAAGGATCTTACTGCCCCCGTCCACTCCACAGGTGCCACCAATCTCAACCGTGGCTTTAGATAACTGCGAAACACGCTTGGCGCCTTCAGCAGTCATCGATTTGTGCCCTCAAGTCTATTGTACGAAGCCTGTACAGTAACACCAAAGACCTTGCGATATTTCTTTCGAGGTAAGCCTATAAGCGACTGTCTGTAAAACTGCGACGATCGATTGACGGCCCACGAAACAGTGGTACTCATGCAACCTCGCCCTCGCCCTTGGATATAACATCCCTCTACAGTACCTTTCAATACTGTATGTAGGACAACGGCACTACATACCCCATTTCAGTTCATACAGGATGTACAGATTTCCTGCAGATCTCAGCATGTATATTATTTACGCCCGGTACCTCTCCAACGAAAGTCGTTTCCTTGCGAGGTCAAGATCACATAGGAGGTACACAGTACATGCATTAGTAGAACACCCTGATGAAAAGACTATAGTAGCTAAAGGAAGTGAATTGCTGAGAACGTTTGCTTCGATCCGATCACTTGTTCAAAACCCTTGTTTGGGACACGTGCTGAGTACTGTACCGGCATGGCAAACGTCGCAGGACCAATTATTCGCAACGAATTATGAAGCAAGCAATAAAATCATCCTTCATAAAGTATCTCCCCCTGGATAGTTATGAGCATATACCTGTGACAATACGCCCTCGAACTCCCCGAGTCGGGGCTTCAGGGCCGTCGTGCTGGTGTTGTCTTGAGTGCATGCATGCATACGCCAACTCCAACCCCCAATCATATCCCGATACTGCGACATGAATTGAAAAGTATCCAACATTTGATACCGAATTGCCTCGTTGCTCCACAAGACCGGCCAATAGAGGACGGACCGTAGTCCGGAGTACTTCAGTGTGTGTGACTGGGACTGGATTGGGCGAGTCACTCTAATACTGTCGTGCTGAGTATTACTTTGTGGAATGGATTTGCCCTTGTTGACATTTGCAACAAATTGCTGACCGGTAGTTTGCATTTGCTGTTGTCTCCTCGATCATGTCTCATGTGGGTGACGTTGTACTTTATCGCGAGACATTCATCCTCAAGCTGACGTCGCGAAATGTGCAGGTGACCTTGAGGTGTCGCACAAGGCGGCACGCCGTGGCTGGCCTCATTATTGGATTAGCTGCTTTCACCATGAAGTACTTTTCCCCGCAAGCTCTGCACTCGTCCATCCATGCACCAGATCGAAAACGCCCGTCGTCAACCACCACGGCCACTGGAACTTGGACCAGCGGCGAACACAAGCGATTCCTCGCAGCCATTGAAATGTTTCCCCAAGGACCGTGGAAGGCTATCGCCAAGTTCGTCGGCACCCGAACATCTCGACAAGCTCAAACCCATGCCCAAAAGTACCGAGAAAGGCTACTTCGACAAGCCATGGACAAGACCTGCGATCCTGTGTCAAGAGAAATACGAGGGCGGGATGCTGGCGAAGTCATTAAAATTGAGGTGGAGGCAGTGGACATGGTGAATTGCGTTGAAGAATTCAACAAAGATTGCCTTGCTCAAGGCTTTCATGAGGCCGAACTGTCCATGGAAGAGGCCATGGCGTACCTTGTGGAACTAGTGGACTGCAAAGACTGGACGTTATGACTCGTACGACACCGCAGCTACCCCTGCAGCATTAATTTTTATTAGCCTTAAGGACACCGTTATTACAAAGCCTTTGATCGCAGCCACTTCATCTCGAAGTTCCTAGTACTACACTTAGTCGTGTAAGTGTGTAGTGTGCCTCATTGCTATACGTATGTATGTATGTATGTATACACACTCGTCCTCGTGCCTTGTCAAGTGAGAATTGGGGGTCATGATTCAAAGTTCCGAACTCTATTGTGTACATGGCCTACCGTAGTACTACTAGTAATACTACGTAGTAGTACTATCAATAACAATAGTACTAACTGTAAGTGGGTACAGTACCTGTACTGTTGTACAGTAATACAGTAGCAGCATAGGTAGCTTTGGACATTAGGAGCTGTGACATTTACCCAGGAGTCGCTGTGATACAGCTAAAATTACTCGGAGTATGAATCGACCTGATAGAAGAAAGCGGCTGTGCGGGCTTTTCGAAGTCAACTTCACGGAACGAAGAAGTGAATTTCTACGTACATGCTTGAGGAGTCGGATGACAGAGTTTGGCACTACTGTACGAAGTACTACAAGTACATATTGGCCGCGTCCTTCAAGCGAGGAGTGATATTTTAATAGTTAGTACTAGTATGTATGATATTAACTTTTACAGGTACTACGTGCTCAAGATGATGTTAGATAACGTTGGGAGTGTAATTGATGCCATGATCTCCATTGTGCCTGACTATACCGTGAAGAATTCTCACAGCCCTCATGTCCGTTGACTTGTTGCTTTCACTGACTCTTGTGTTTGGGATTCCGGCGCCACATACTGTAGGTAGATTCGACGACTTGCACACGGCGAAACGTGGTCCACCACACCAACCCCAGCATAGTCTTGATAAATTACACCTGTCAACAAATCTGCGGAGAGGAATTCCAGGTAGTTTCTACCTGCTGGAGGTCGAAAACGACCTGTTCTTGGGAAAATATCGAATCAACGGGTAATCGTCCGAATAACCCTTTTCTTTGCACAGATAAGACGCAGAACTACTAACATACAGATGTCGCGTAGGTCCCTAGAGTTAATCCATTTGGTTAGTACAAATGCGACATTTCTCTGTTCGGTCGTAGGTACACGATTGTAAGTTATTAATTTAAATTCACGTAGCTACGAGCTTTACTGTTAGCTAGGAAATTATGGGAAAACGTTCAATAAATCTGGATACCGTTCAGCCAAGACTGACAACCGTTCAAGCAAATTTTCTTCCCATAACCCTGTAACCCCAGGACTTCGTTCTACCCCCGCGTGCACATACTTTGACGTATAATGCTAAACCCCTAGTAAGAGTTGAGGTGGTCAGAGCACAAAAATATGCCTCATCTAACTAGAGTTTATTACGTACTTTGAACGGTTTTCAGTCTTCGCTGAACGGTATCCAGATTTATTGAACGTTTTCCCATAGTTTCCTAGCTTACAGTAAAGCTCGTAGCTACATGAATTTTTAAATTAATTACTTATAATCGTGTACATACCGAACATAGAAATGTCGCATTTGTACTTTCCCAACGGATTAACTCAGCTCTGTAACCTCGGACTTCGTCCTACGTAACCCCAGTGGGCATATGCAGGTGCATGTCATTCTCTTTTCGGGTTAACTTGCATCCCAGTGGTTAGCTACTGCTAACTACTGAAATGCACATAACCCCTTGCTGAAATGTGTTGTGCTCATCATACAAGACCTGGGAGTTCCCTTACTATCGTACTAACAGTAAGTATGTACTTATTTGTGCAACAACCAGGACAATTCTCCGAGAACAGGTAGTTTTCGACCTACAGCAGGTATACGTATACAGTACTAGAAGTAACTACCTCCTCCTGGGGAATTCCACAACTGTGGAGGTGTACCCAAAAGAACGGTCGAGGGTTGCAGGACTACATATATCACTACACTCACTCCACATGGCGACCCCAAAATACTGTACTATTAATAGTACAATTCCCTCATTAAAACATTTCCACTGTTGTTATTCTCAGAAAACACGGCAATATGAGTCTATGGCCCTCACCTCTAACTAGGGGTTAAGTGCATCTCAATGGTTACTGTAGCGATAGCTAACCACTAGCGATGCAACTTAACCCCGGTGATTTAGCATCGGATGTACTCACCGGGGGTAGGACGGAGTCCCAGGTTACAGGGCTACGGGCGAAAAGGTGTATCCAGATGTGATAAATCCCTCATTGAAACAATACTACTCCGGAGTACATATTTCGGATAACAGTGGAATTAGTTTAATGAGGGAACTATTCCTAAATACTTCGTACAATGTGCTCGCCGACAAGAATTCTACTACCGGGTACCGGTAGTATTACCTTGTGGTACCGGTACCAGCAAGTTTACGATTCGCGTCATACCGACCCATTTGATGTTGATCACCTGAAGCTCCGCATTTTGAGGTTGGCACACCTTGTCTGATGTGATATTGGTCAAAACGTGATTAGCCTTACGATACAGTAGGATTGACTTTCACGTTAAAGTAAAACAAAGTATGTGAGGTCCAAGCTCTTGTCTCGGCCATAACTGGTACCCGAACGGTGGCGAAGGCTCAATCCGTGATTGGTTCGGTAAATCTGCATCATCTGTCTGTCCACCAACATGCTGGTACCGGTACACCCAAAGGTCGTCGTCTAGAGGCTGTGAATCCTTATGTCTCAAACCAGGCCGTCATATTGTAGAAGCCCTCAATCAAATGGACATCATAGGAGAAAGGGGGGTGTCGCGGGGGGCTAGAGATGGGAGCAGAGCCTCCACACAGGAGCCGCTGCATCGAAGAACACGCCGGTCGGATCGGGGGGCAATGCTTGTAAAGGGCGGTGTAGAGATTTGTAAGGCAATGGGATAGAGCCTGTGCTTGGGCTTGTGTGGGGAGAGGGAATCAGGCATTGGGCGAAATCAGGCAGAAATTGTCGTGAACAGCCGCACAGCAGTCGTACAAGAACGTTCGCATTGCTAGCGTCCAATGTGCCTCGATCTCACGTGGTCCTAGGGAGTGCCGTGTGTGGTTCAGAGGAGCCACATGCGGTTGTTGAGCAAACAAGTAGCTAGTCGTTCTGGTTTTAATATAGATTATGTTCCTCTAGGCCAACCGTCGGCATATCGTACATGCGCCTACTTTCTACCGGTACACCTAATCTAAATCACCAAACAACCCAGGCGACGAAACGTTCTACTACAGTAGTACAAGGACCAGTTGTAGTTCTGATATACATATGCTACACGTCATCAGGAACATGCGAATAGATCCTGACGTTAGCTTTAACAAGTTTTGATTACCTATCATGAACTTACCGTAACCACCACAACACTGGTACTACTAGTACAGTACATTACAGTACTTTGTAGTACAAAATTGGCATAAGTCCTCCCTCTACAATGTACTATTAATAGTAATTCATACTACAGCGTCGTTGGTTAATCGAACGGTAGTCAAGTCGTGGACACTGGTGAAATCGAATCCCAACTCCACTATACGTATACTACGTAGTACATCGTGCAGGAACATCAGGCCAGGGAGATGCGGGCACAGGACACAAACACATGACTACAGTACGTTATGAAGTATTATAGGTCCTTGATTATTCCTTCAAATCATGGTGTACCATTGTCGAGGGAATACCAGTACTAGTACATGGAACGTTATTCAAGTTGTCACGTGCGAGTCAACCAGGGCCACTTTCATGGAAACAAACGGCGTATACGCTGTACATACGCTAGACAGTTACATATATTATTATTCGCTTGAACATCTTTATGCTGATATTTATATGTAAGTATGAGTATTTTTGTTCATCCCCATACACAATTCATTACGTTTTGCGAAACGATTTATACATCGTGCAGATTGTGCATGCATTAGCGATGTAGGTCAGCGATTTCTCAATGTATACTGCACAACGGGCCACGAAACTCTCTATTCCTCATAACAACAATCAACACTACCAAGATCACTTTGTTGCATGTCGCCTGAATCAACAGCTGTATAGAACTTGCCAAATTCGTCGTATTTCACGAACAATCGTGTACATGGGGGTATGATGCCTCATGCCAGAGAGAGCTGTGTATGCACAGACCATGCTGCATAGGCTGAGCTAGTAATGGACTATCTTGTAGTACGAGTAGTATTGCTGACGGTATAACAAGGCTCGAGAAAAGCGTCATCAAAGTTCGTCCATTTTCGATATATGCGCATGTCGACATGTCCGAGTACAAAAAATATATTGTATCCGCAAAAGTCATCAAATATCCGGAACAGTTCTGTTTTCAAAGCGAAACGGCGCGAATTTCTAACATGTACTAGTACTTGCAGTGAGTGGTAGAAGTACAGGAGCCAAATTCCCTCTCCAACAAGTTGGATAACTGCAAAGAAACTCCAGATTTTGCTTTCGCCAACCAGAAATGCCTCGACTTTGGCCTTCCATAACTTCGTGTTATGATGAGTTTTCGCCAGTTCCCGCATCTCCCTGCAGTGTAAAAAATACTATCAATATTACTAATAATAGTATTTCGTAACACAAGTATTAATAATACTCCTCCGGACAACTATTAATACTACGTAGTACTAATACTACTAACGATTGCGAAAGCAATACTTACTACTGTAGTGTACTAACTATTTTAATAGTTAGTACGTCGAAGTATTTTAATACGTCGAAGTCGGTGTAACTTACTATTGAAATAGTAAGTTACACCGAGTAGTACGGTAGTAAATAGAATAATTCCCTGATTAAAACAGTTTCACCCAAAATACTGTTTCAATGAGGGAATTATTACATCCGGATACACCTTTTCGCCAGTAGCCCTGTAACCTGGGACTCCGTCCTACCCCCGGTGAGTACATACGATGCTAAATCTCCGGGGTTAACTGCATCGCTAGTGGTTAGCTATCGCTAACCACTGAGATGCACTTAGCCCCTAGTAAGAGGTGATGTGGTCCGAGCATACAAAGTTCCATATAAACCTAATCGAAACAGTATTTCGGGTCAAAACAACAGTGGAACTGTTTTAATGAGGGAATTGTACGTACCAGTAGAAAATAACATGAGAATCCAGTAAAAACGTTACACAGAACACACATACGAACATATGAGGCAAGACTTTGGCCATGTGTTGGAACGACTGTTGGACAGTCCATCGACTGCGAATAGACATTATGATTGACTGAGCGCATTTATGTGCTACAGTACTACGTAGTGCGGCACCTCCCTCCAACGGCGAAGGGATGCGGGGGGATAGTGGTCATATTGTACTCCTTTGAAAGCAAAACCTCGATATCAAGAGACACTCGAGTAGTATAATATTACAGGAAAAGTAGGATACAGGAATTGGGGCTTCGAGTTGCCTGTCGATGGTGGGTTTGGTGGGTTGACGTTTCGGACGGGTCATAAAGCCCACTTGGCGCAGTCCACTAGTTCCACAAGGTACGCCATGGCCTCTTCCATTGACAGCTCGGAGTCGGGGAAGCCTTGACTAATACAATCCTGGTTGAATTCTTCAATCCCAATCACCACGTCCACTGCCTCCACCTCAATTTTCACGCCTTCCTCAGCAGCCCGCCCCCTTATCTTCCTTGACACGTGGTCGCTCATCATGTCCACATCTTGCCGAAGTAGCCTTTCTCGGTACTTTTGGGCATGGGTTTGAGCTTGTCGAGATGTTCGGGTGCCGATGAACTTGGCGATGGCCTTCCACGGTCCTTGGGGGAACATTTCAATGGCTGCAAGGAATCGCTTGTGTTCGCCGCTGGTCCAAGTTCCGGTGGCGATAGTGGTTGACATGGGGCGTTTTCGCTCTGGTGCGTGGATGGAAAGTTGTAAAGCTTGCGGGGAAAAGTACTTCATGTTCGCAAATCCAATAATGCGGCCAGCCGTGGAATTCACTTGACTGTGAAATTAATCCATGCGACATGCGATTGGTGAAAGGCCATTTCGTCATAAACTTACAGTGTGCGAGCAGCTGGACTGTGTCTTTGCTGTCCCCTGAACGGTTTCACCATCCCGCAATGTGGTCAATGTAATTTGTACCAACGGTGGTAAAGGGCTCCGCCAAACCCTTTGCCCCTGGCCTGAAACTTCAAACAGCCTTCGTTGTGTATGATGGCGAGTTTGAGTCAATGTATGTAGTATTCATGTCGCATTGATTGTTTCAAACGACGTGCACTCGTATTCTAATTTGCATTTGAGTGTTGGTAAGGGTACAGTAATGTTCTGTTGGACCATTGTACTTCTACGAAGTACGGTACGGTAGCGTCCATGCGAGTGGGGACATGGCGAATCTCAAAATAAAGCTACTATATAGACTGTAGTAGATGTACTACTGTATTTATATCGTTAATCGAGTACTACGGTACTATTAATACTAGTACATACTAGCACTATTTTAATAGTGCTACAACGTGTACTATTAAAATAGTACACGTTGTACTTGGTACTATTAATATTAATAGTACTGTAGTAACATACTACAGTAGTACGTGGCGCCAAGTGCTACGCATAGCGCTTACTAGTTAGTACACTAGTACACTGATTACTACTCCGTAAGTAGTAATAGCCATCCATTGTACATTCTGATGTCACCTTCATGGTTGGAGACTCTGGTGTGGTGGCGGCCAAGCGATTTTGGCTTCGTCGCCTCAACCATGTTATTCGAAAGCAATTAACGCCATCACACTTGCAACAAGTAATACTACACAGTCAGCAATTCATACGTACATTCGGAATCACTGACCTATCCCCACCAAACATGTAAAAGCACTGCCATGAGTTTGAATTTGCAATTCCAATTCCGTAAATTGCATCGATGCCTAACAAAAAATCATACATTTTGCCAGCAGTACTATGCACTGTGGATTTGCCTTGGAGAGGAATCTTGTCCAATCGAATCACATGCGGTGACTCTTTAAATGGAATCGCCCCAGCGCTGAATATTTCCGCTGCTCGCTAACAGCGCTGCTATTGTCCCCGTGAGGAGGCACACTTCTGTACTGAAGCCCCCCACTACACTGTAGCGTTGTCCCTTCATCAATAGGGAGAAGTGTGCAATGATGCATAGAACACAAGGGGGGGCTATTGCTACTAATGCCCCCTCGTAAATGCGTACTACATTGCACGTAATAATACACCTCATACCCACAAACAATTACTACATAGTATGAGGATTGTTGGATTAATCCAAGCTTCAAATCCTCTGTACCAACCAAATGAGGGGCTACCATATACAGAATACAACGATTTGGCCTAACGTTACCACTAGATGGCTCGCTCCCTCCCTCGCCGCGCCAACTCGGTGAGTCATTCCACACAGACCTCTGGTATCGAGCCAAGCGGCTGTCTACAAGGAACGACATGCTATCGGTAGTTGGCCTAAGTGGAGCTTCAAATTTGAGATGAACTTGATATGATTGGCTTATTTACTGGTAAACCAATCATAACTTGGCCCAGAATGGGCCGAATTCTCGAATATGATTGGATAGGCTTTTATTTAGGCCAACTAGCCTGTGTACTGTACTTGTACTAGTATGGGCAAGACATAGTACTGTAGTTCCGAGACACTTTTTGGGACCCTTCGATGGAGGTATTTCTTAACTGTAAAGGGAGAATTCATACAGTTCGTAGGACTTCAAATCATATTGAAATCCGTATTGGTGTTGATGGAAAAATGGGCTTGATGAGTGAGAATACTTCGTAACGTTAACGTTAAGAGCATCCTGGTACGCTACATTGTATTTTACAGTTCTATCCGGATTATTTACAGTTTTGACAACCCCACCGGGCGATTCATGTAATTTCAGCCCAGTTGGCAGCCAATGATATCATCGAACGAAGATGATTGGATAAAATAAGGTACTCAGGTAAATAATACCCTTAGCATTTAATATTTGATTTCTTTGACAACTCATGTAATCTCATAATTACAATAACTTATAGATTAAATACCTTTTAAACTTAATAAATATTACTATTAAGAGGTTCTGAGAATTTCGGTGGTCAAATCTGTGTTATATTATTCAAGTCAAACACCTGGGCGGAATTTACATTTACATAGGAAAATAACAGAATTGAAAAAATGGACAAGCGATACAACGATGGGTCCTGCATAAACTAGTAATAATGCTCCTCATGACCTTGAGAATGCATGTTTTTGCAACCTCATCACACACACGGGCGATGAGTTATGAGACTTCAGAAGTACGACAAGCTGGGCGGAAATATTGCATGAAACACCTAAAATACAGTTTTACCCATTCTGTAAATTGACTGTGAGACCGAATAAGTAGTACTTAGTGAGAGCATCCCACCGGTGCGACTGTCCCTACATAGTCGAGCATCCTTAGCCTGACTATCCAGGGGCAGGTTGGAATGGCGGGCTACTATTGACTATATAGGGCGGGAAGGTAGTCAAGGATATCACAAGTGAATTTCACGTCATCACCGTCGTCCAAAGCAAACTTACTGTATGCCTCGGAGTTCATTTCCGGATATGATAGGTATGCGAATTTTTTATCGTTCTACTGCTGGGGTTGACGAAAATCAAAATACAGGAACTGCAAAACGGTATTTTAGTATTTTAGGTGCGGATGCCCTAACGATACTACTTGTAGTATACGTAGATGGCCAGTTTACATGTAGTGTGCACGGGATGCACTCCTATTGTCCTATGAAATGGCTTGACAGTGAATTCAGGAATAGCCTTTCGAATCGCTATAAAAACCCAAGAAATAAGAAAAAAACGAATACAAGTACCAAAGTACTACTAACACATTTTAAGCTGAAACCGTGCACCATAAACCGTCCCTCCTATTTTGCTTTGATTTGGGTGGAAATCGAAGTATTATTAGGGCAACCTGGATTATTCGAAATAACTCGACTTCGAACGACATTTGAGTATCTCCAAGAATACTTATTTCCCATTGGCTGCCGACAAACTATAATGACACTTCTGATGTACCTGGTACCCAGCTGCAGGCACAAAGACCTCTCAAATGTACAAAATTGTAAAGTACCACATACAGTAGTAGAATATATGCATCAGTGGTAATAAGATCACCGCAACGATCGGCCGCCTCCAAACCAATCGTTCTTGACGAGTGGAGTTTTACCATTCAGTTCAACGTTATTGAAATACGTGGACAGTGTTTGACAGGCTAAATCCTTCAAACGTTATGTACTTCAAATTGTCACCTAACATACAAAAGTTGATACCCAAGGACGAGTCATCAATCAACGCGTTCGACACTAGCGGCTTCAAACATCGGCCTCCACTAATCCATTCAACGTACTAGTATACAACTTTTTTAATCCTAACTAAGGACCTTGTCCAAATAACCCCCTTCTTTGCACAATTCATAGAAGATGCCGGCGCCTGCGCCGATCAGCGCCGCGGGGGTGTCGCATTGGGCCAGCCGGCCTTGGTCAAATACAAGAATGCGGTCGGCGTCCAGCACCGTGTCCAGACGATGGGCGATTGTGAGCACAGTCGACGTCGCAAACTCGGTGCGGATCACGCGCTGAAGGTTCTGGTCCGTCTCGTGGTCGATGGCCGCCGTGGCTTCGTCCATCACGACGATGCGCGCTTGGCGGAGTAGCGCCCGCGCCATGCACAACATCTGCCGCTCGCCCACGCTAAAGTTCTCTCCGTTCTCTTCCACGGGGCTGTCCAACTTGCCGTCCACGGCGCTGATGCGGTCGGCCAGTCGCACCTTGTGCAGACAACCCCACAAGTCGGCGTCCGCAAACTCGCCGAACGGGTCCAAGTAGTTGCGCAATGTGCCTTTAAACAGCACGGGGGCCTGGGGGATGATTGCAATGCTGCTCCGTAATGTCTTGACGCCAACATGGGAGATGTCGACGCCGTCGATCTTGATGCTGCCCCCCGCCAGTTCGTTGATGCGGAACAGCGCCATGGTCAGGCTGCTCTTGCCAGCCCCCGTCCGCCCCACAATGCCGACCTTTTCACCAGATTGAATGTGCACATTCACGTCCTTGAGCACCATTGGATCGTTCTCTTTGTATCGGAAACTCATGTTGGTAAAGGCAACGTCGCCGGTCGTGGGCCAGTCCTTGGCTACAGCGCCAGAAATCACACGGGGGGCTTCGGGCTCAATGTTGGCGTATTCCGCGAGGCGTTCGGGGCCGACCATGGCCGTTTCGAGCTGGGCCCAGTTGGCCACCATCTGTTGGAACGTGGGCAGTATCGTAAAGGAGTAGTTGAGCACGAGCCCAATGAGCCCTGGACTCACGTAGTCTCGCATGAGGATCAGCGCCGTGGACATTCCCAGGAGGAGTCTTGCGCTGAGGAGCTGAATGCGCATGGCAAACCATTGCGTGATCACTTGGGCCGCAAACGATGCTTCGTTGTTAGTGTCAACGTTGCGAAAGTGTTTGCGCTGGAACCGGCGCACCTGCTTGGGGCCGAACGCTCGAATTACGAGCGCGCCTTCAATCGACTCGGAGATCAAATTCAGGAGTGGGGACTTGGTCGTTTTGTTTACGCGCTCCATTTCCCGCGCCGGTTGGACGTAGTATGCCCCGATGACCTTGTACACGTAGATGAGGGGCAGCATCGCCAGCCCGCACGACTTGAGCACCCAGATGGTCGTGGCGAGTGCAAAGATGGCGTTGAATGTCATCGCCATGGACGCGCTGATGTTGAACGGTATGGTGGTGTCGACCGTGTTGATGTCGTTCGAGTACCGGTTGAGGATGCGGCCGATGGGGTTGGTGTCGAAGAATGTCATGGGTGCGCGGATGAGTGCCTTGGTCATGTTCTCAAACAGCCGGCGGGATGCGGGCAGGCCCGACGAGTAGATGGACAGCGTTCGTACCATCGTCATGGTGATGCTGCCAAGCGCCAAGGCAGCGTAGATGGACAAGTAGTACCCTGCTTGGTGGAGGTATTCGTCGGGCGTGGCGGTTTTGGTCTCCTTTCTGGTGGCGCTGCGGCGACTGTGGCTCGCGTCTGCGGGCATCTTCCGGCCTTGCCATATGGCCACCCCTGCAACCCGCATTTTCCCCTTTTTCCTCGCTTGCACGTCTTTGTCGTATGCTTTGGATGCGTTGGTGGCTTGGGGGCGTTGTTCTTGTTGGTCGTGTTTGCCGGTGGGGTGGTTCTGGTCGTTCTGCGTGGCGGTGCCCGTTTCTTTGGGCTGCGTTGTGGGGGTGCCGTGCTCAAACTGCTGGGGGTACGGCGTTGCCACTGACGGGGTTAGCAGGATGTTGCTCTGCTTGTGTTGGCTGGGTTGTTCCCGGTATTGGTGGTGGTTGTCTTTGTCTTCGTGGTCGCCGCGGCGGCGGGCGCGCGGGGGTGTGAGCATTGGCTGGTTGGGCTTGTTTGTGTTGTCGACTGTGGTTTGAATCAGGTGGCCGCTCTTGATTTCGACAATCCGGTCGATACACTTGGACGCGATGATTTCCGGCGAGTGCGTCACCAATATGACTGTCTTGTGGCGCAGCAATCCGAGAAAACACTTGGTGAAAATCTCGTTTTGCACGATCGCGTCCACAGCAGACAAGGGCGAGTCCAGGATGAAAATGTCGGCGTCGCTGTAGCACGCCCGGGCCAAGCTGATGCGGGCCTTCTGTCCCCCCGACAAGTTGACCCCCTTCTGGCCAATCTCGGTCCGGTCACCGGCGGCAAACAGCGCCAGATCTTTCGAAAGCGCACATGCTTCCAACACGTTGGTGTACTTGACGCGGTCGTAGGGCTTGCCAAAGAGGATGTTTTCACGGATGGTCATGTTCTGAATCCACGCCTGTTGGGAAAAGTACGCGACTTGGCCGCCCACAAACACAGTGCCGTCCCCAAACTTGTCCATTTCCCCCAACAAGGCGGCACACAGCGACGACTTGCCTTCGCCCACCGACCCATGCACAACCACAAGCTCCCCTCGCTTGACGGTCAAGTTGACGTCCTTAAACAGAGGTTTGCCAGCGTCCCAGCCAAAGCTGCAATTGTCCACGCAAATGTCGACATTGCCGCTGGCGTACACTTCCACCATTTCCAAGGGCGCAGACAAAGGGGTTAGCACAGTGTGCGTCTTCTTTTCGTCCAAGTTCAGAAACTCCATGATGCGGCGAAGGGCCACCAGCGCTTGCATCATGCTGGCAATGATTTTGGGCAAAGTCATGAGTGGAAGCTTGAGCAAATTGAACAGCGTGAGCGCCGTAAACATCTTGGTCGCGTTCAATGTCTCGCCCATGACCAGCGTGTACGTTGAGAACGACGCGATGGTAACGACCACCGGCGCGCCGTACAGCAGCGCCGTGATGCAACTGGACAGGGAAAAGATCTGCCAGAGAGTTTTGAGTTCGACAGCTCGCTCGGTCTTGATTTTGTCGTGAAATTTTTCTTCCCATGCATTCAGCTTGATGATTTGCATAGCGCCAAACATTTCGTTGACAGACTTCATGCGCGTGTCCTGGTACCCTCGCAGCGCCACGTAGTTGCGGCGCTGGGCCACGACCACAAAGTTGTTGATCACGAGCACGACTATGATCACGCCAGCGCCCACAAACGTCGCCCATCCAATCACGTCGAACAGCATGAACAATGTCACAGCGACTTGGACCGGAATGAGCCACAACTGTGTGGCAAAGATGGAAAAATTGAGGATCCACTGGATGTCGGCGGAAAACATGTTGGCGATCTCCCCCGCGGTCTTTTCGCGGCGGCACTTGGCGTCCAACGCCAGCGATTTGTGAAACAGCAAGTGCTGCAGCGCGGACGTGAGCTTGACCGTGACCAGTTGGTTCTGAAACGTCGAATGGGCAGAGATAAACGCCTGGGCGACGTTCGCAGCAAACAGCGTGACAATGTACTGCAGCACGGCGTGCATATCAAAGGACGTGTCGTCTTCCAAAGCGCTCAAAATGTGCTTGAGAACGACGGGGCCGTACAAGGTGCAGCCGACGGACAGAATTTGCAGCAGCCCAATGCCGACAAAACGACCGCCGTACGAGGCAAAGATGGTGCGGACGAGCGACCGGTGGCGACGAAAGTGCGGCTCGAACGACGCACTCACAACATGGCATTGGTTAGCTGGCTGCAGCGGCCACAAGTCTACCGGGTTGAGCTGCCGCTGGTTGCCCAACTGCAGCAGCGGCGTGGCCCAGTTGTACAGGAGTTTCGACACAAAGCTGGCTTGGTCATATGGGTGGACAGCAGAGGACGTGCGTGGAGGCTTGTGGTCCGTCGTGGGTAGCGACTGGTAGGACGCTGTCGCCTGGGAGGCCGGGCGCTGTTTGCTGGTGACCATGGATCGAGAACCAAACGACCAAACGTCGGCCAATCGTTAATGTGCTAGCTCTCTCTGCACATCGTCGTAGCGTGGAAATCCTTGTCGTTCCGAGGTCGACCAACACATTGGTGAAATTTCAGGTAATGGACAGGTGAAAGGGTATTTACGTGAACATCTACCGACATGTCACATCAAAGTGAAAACACATCATATCCAGGCGTACAGCAATCACGACCTTAACTTTCATTGTGTACTACAGTAACTTCCAAGAGTAATCCGACCTGGGAAATGTTTTTCCACTAACGTTACTCCAAGTATTACTCCAGTATGTACTGGAGTACTACGTACTACGGAGTACAGTACAGTAGTACACTGTCTATCGGTAGCCAGGAACGCGCTAGCAATAAACATACCGCAAGACTACCAGGACTAGTAGGTAGCAGAGTACAGTACTTCGCGATGTGTGCCATTTGTCCACGTCATTTTTACTACTACCTCCGTCCGAAAATGTTTGCTGCAACCAGCAGAAATCGTGGATGAACTTGAAAATAGATGAAGTATAATGTTCAAAAGGTATGTATTTGTAGAGGAGAAATCATGGATCACCAATAGAAGATCTTCGCACCAAAAAACATCCAATCAAACCAGCAATCATGCATGCAAAGCTCGATACTTTATCCAATATATGTAACATGGGCTCTGCATCGTATCCGGATATCCGATTACGATAAATAACATATATCCGGATGATATGCACTGACAAACCCTTTCAAACTGTCATGCGCGGGATACGTGAAAAATCTGACGAACACGGACCGCAATACCATCCTCCATCGGCTGCTAGCACTTGTCAGGCCGCAATCATCGACTCAAAGATCGACGAACTTGCCCAAGAGACAGCGTTGACGATTGAACTGAGCGAATTTTGCTCCCAACTCGAGCTG